GAATCTGTAATCTGGTCTCTCTTCAACTGAGAATGACATTCTTATTAATGTCCTTAACTTCTCTCAGAAGCACTTCATTGAGATATTTACACCTAGCATAGCTGTTTTACTTTGGTTTTTTTAAGTGCTGGATGCTTCTCTAGAGTCACTTTTCCCCTTTCTACATACCCTACAAAACATTTGTTGCCTTAATTTATGAAAGGGGGGGTCACCCTAAATAGTCTCATCTGTGATACTGGAATTTGAATGAGAGAGTGAAGAGCAAGAGTGGGGTAAACAGTTATTTGATGTCTGTCTTTTCACAGTAGCACAATAGCTAATTCCTAGGGCCTCTGACCTTTCAGTGTCCTGTAACAGAGTACTTGCATTAATCTGTTGCTTATCTGTCACCTACCACATTTGATATTTCCAGTCTCTGCTTTCAATTATCAGTCATTAGAGGCAGCACTGAGTAATTTCAGGAGAAAATGCCTGGAACCTTTGACCTGTTTTGGTCAGATAACCACAAGTGTTCACTGTAGATAAACTATCATTTCATTATATTCAAGATGTAAATGAGTGTCGTTTGTAGTGTATCAGCTTACTGTAAACTTTATCACCTTGGAGTGATTAAAACTGGCTGGTTTACTTAGTACTTATACAAAGAATTTAGAGTCAAACAGTGAAATTCAGTGAGATTAGTCTAAATGACCCTTTCTAGTTACACAGGTCTGTAAACCCTCCATTTTGCCTTGGAACATAGATTTAATAGTTAAAAAGTGACATTAATTTGATTAGTGAAGGTTCACTGTTTGTGAAGCCAGTTGGGATCCTGGGATGTTATACTGTAAAATCAACTAATTATAACGTGTCTTTCAGCATATCTTTGGTTTGTTACCCATTTGCCAAAGCAGCTTTCACTTTGCCCATGTGTCACAGCCACACACCAACATCTTCAGGAAAAGTGAAGCACATATCAGTGTGGAGCTAATCACTAATGAAAGAGCACATCTAATAGTCCCTCATGCACTATGACCTAAACTCATTGCTAGCAGTTTTTATAATTTTTAAGCTCAGTCAACATAATCAGACATTTATAACTGAATTTCTAAAATACTGATTACTTGTTATACATCTATGTAAGTGCTTTCGGTGTTTTTTAGTTGTTATTTTTTCCCCTCATAAAATAAATAGTTTTGTTAATGAAAAACAATGCATGATATTTTATTTTGGTGTAAAAGAAGACCTCTTTTCCAAAATACCTTTTTTCCTGTAAATTTGACTTTTTTTCTTCGTAGAGTTGGACTTAATGTTAATACAGTGTAAATGTTTCATCAGTTTGCCACATGGGTGGAAAATATCATTCTTTCCCATCTTACACACAGGTGTTTGTGATATTCCCCTGAGCCACGACTTGTCTGATGTAACTGTCGTGCTACATATATTAATTTCAGGTGGTATAAAAATGCCATTTTTAAAAGTCAATGCTAAGAATCCTGACCAATGAGAGCAAAGGAAGATTTTTTTCTTTTTTTTTGTAATCAGCATTGCCCCTAATATTCTATTATTTTTACTTAGAAAAATTCTATTCCTCCAATGATTAAAAAATACTTCCTGATTTTCTGTTCAACTGGTTTTTAGATGCTGTGATTTGTCCCACAGAAATGCATTTTGGCAGATGTACTGAGCAGGGCTGGAATGGCATGAGAACATTCTGAAAGGACCAAATACTTGAAAATTTTAACCTGTGTTTTTCAGGCTGCCAGTGTTGAAAAGCTCTTGCCTGTGAAATAAAAATATTTGAGAAATGGTGCTTCCCTGCACTTCATGCTATTTCAGCAGGATGAAGGACCTGGCAGATACCCTACTGAGCATTCACAGTCTTGCCTGACAAGGCATTTATTAGATGCAGAGGGACCAAGATTTGTGTATTATTTTCAGTAATAAAATATTCATTATCATTAAATAGTATTTTACTTTTTAAACTTGTCTACCATTCTAACTATTGGTCATTATTGTAACATCACCATTACCTCTTTTTTTGTTGTCTGCTATATAATGCAAGATTTTAAGTTGTCTACATTTGTGTACAATTTTTTTTTTTGCTTTATACATTGGCTGATATAAATCTGCAGATGGACATCCTGGGTTCACTGCAGATGGGACCTCCTTGGACTCGGGGTGTTTTTGCAGGGTTGTTCAGTGTTTCCTACAGCCCCTCACTTCTGCAGACTGTTGCTGCTCTGAAGTCCTGGCCTGCCTGTAAATGCTGTCTCGAACCAGAGAAATTTTGAACTTGTGTCCCTTTCAGATGACAGTGCTGCATCTTCCTTGGGTATATATGTGGAAACACAGATAAATACAATCTGTGTGAGTTGTAACAATTAATTTGAGGCCCACCAGAAAGTGGCTGTCAGTATTCTTTCAGCAGTTGTGAGTGATCCTGAGAGATCCCCACTGATACTGTTAGGGGTATTGTCGAGGCTTCTGTCCAAACTATAACATATAGGGACACAACTACTGTTTCAAAACTGGTGTTACTAATTAGAAAGTACTTGGTAGAAACTAGACGAAAGGAAGCTTCAAACCCAAATAAAAATCAATCTGTCCAGTAGTTGTGGCATTTAAACCTTTCATTCAGTGTTTAATTATTCAGTATTTACTCATAGTGAGTATATGTATTACCAGTGCTATGCATGCTGGTAAACACTTGTTGAAAAAATACTATCCAGAGACAGCAGAAAGGCTTGCACTATACTAAGTCTGTGTTAAATATAGTTCTCATTTGAAGGTTATTGACATATCTGTTCCATGACAGTTTTGAAATGCTCAGTTATAACCTCAGAAACTTGGAGCACGCTCTTTGTACTAGAAAAAACCCTCCCGGCTCAGTGCTTTTGCATATGCTAATCTCTGCCAAGCTCCCCTGAAATGAAAGGCTTTACATGGGTATTTTAAAAAAAAAGCAAACAACTCCCAAACCTTAAGTCAGATCTCTGTATATATCTCAGGGTTTAGAACCGGGCAGTGGAGCTGCTAAATAGACTGTATCCTGTTTCTCTTCAGTAGCAGCCCATCCATCTTCAGCTACAGAGCAGCCAGTTTACATGCTTCTGCTGCTTTTCTGCTTTACTTTTTCTGCACAGCTTTCGATGGCAAACCCATGTAAGCAAAATATGCACTTGAGCCAAGTAAACCTCACAGTTAGCAGACAATTTTCCTTTTGTCAGCCAGGAGAAAGTTCATTTTCACTGAAGATAAAGTGTTCTTATAGCCTATATATTTTATTTTTTGTGGTTCTTAAGGCAATACAGACTTGTATGTAAAAAAAAAAAAAGAAAGCTAATGAAAGCAAGGAGGGTTTGAAAAGGTGACAGGGAAGTACACTGTAAAGAACTAGTTACATGACCACAGGTGACTTAACTAGTAACTACTGCTCTGAAAATAGTGTTAAATACCCTTTGTTCAATAGCTCCCACTTTAATATGTCCATAACTATACCCTTATATGTCAAGCCCAAAATTATTTTTTTACCTTTTAGTGGATTTCTATTTTGTAAGACAACATATATATTATAATAATACAGATATGTAGGTTTATATATAAAATTATATAATTATATGTATATACATGCAAACACATACACATTATGTATGTAGAAAGAATTGTTTGGGAGGCATGTATATATAAGCATGTAAGTATAAATATTGTAATAATTTACACGTTATTCATACATGTAGCATTTAGTAATGCAAATGTGTGCTTTTTCAGAACAGACATTGTTCCTCCCTCAGATCTGAGGACTAAAATGCAGTCAAAGAGCTGGGATTACAGGAGAGAGTGTTTAGGGAAGCTGAGTGTAGCCATAAATGTTTAGTTGGTTATCTAAAACCAGATCCCAACTCTGCATTTTAGACTTTGTCCACCATCAGTTATACAAAGCACGTATGTCACCAGGCAGGTAGAACTTTCCAGAAGACAGAAATTCTGTCTTCCAACGGAGGACAGCTTATTCATAGGTCAATGATATGTTGTACTCTGTGGAAGTGGAAACCATGGATCATTTTCCTTTCCACATCCCTAAAATCTGAAGTATGAATCCCATAAGGCGATCATCAGCCAGTACTATGGCCTGTAGTTTCCGTTGTCACATCAAAACACATATTCCATTACAAAAGTTGCTCCTAAATCAGAATCAGAACTGCAGCAGACAATAGAAATAGACCCAAACCAGTTATAAATTAAAATCATCTGGTTTGTTCCTCTTAAAATTCCGTAGAAACCTCAATTAAGCAATCATGAGGCTTGCTTTTTTATTTTAAGCTGTGGCAGTGTCAGAAGCAATGGGAGCTGCACCTGCCCACCAAGAACAGGTTTGAGGGGACTTGTCAAGCCAGAATTGTACATCTATGCTGCTGGGGTGCCAGAACCACTCGGCCCTGACCCACAGTTCCTTTTCTGACCACTGGAAAGATGAGGTGCATGCCATTAGAGTACAACTTGTGTTAATTTATATGGCTTAACTGCTTCTTAACTATACAGTTGTTGCAGTGCACTTTAGTACCACTTTTATTATGTTAAACGGAAATAAGCTGCATTCCTCTCATCAGCCTGGTTATTAGAGGCAATTAGTGTTTTTCAAAGTCATCTATAGTTCTGACATTGCTATTGCTGTGCTTATGGCTACACTGAAGTCCTAAATCCTTTCACAGCTTTTAGTTTGTCCATATTTCTAGTTGCTTTACAACATGCCCCCTTTCAGCTTTTTTTGATATTCTTTCACTCCAGCTTCTGGAATTTATATAAAAGCCACGGAGGTTTTTTTTTCCTTTTGAACTGAAGATACTGGGCTGGTGGAATTTCCTTTAACTGGAAGTATGTCTGGGCTTGTGGTTTTATTATTTGCACAGTTTTATATTGTCATGTTTGTTAACCCCCAAGCAGAGGGAATGCTCCATTCATCATGGGAAATGGGCATTTGTTTCACATCTTTAATTTACATTCAATTCTTTTTCTCACAGTTGAAAGGGACAAGGACTTCTCCCACCACCGAAGGCACTACAAGGAATTCCGCTTTGACCTGACTCAGATCCCTCATGGAGAGGCAGTGACAGCCGCCGAGTTCCGGATATACAAAGATCGGAGCAACAGCCGCTTTGAGAATGAAACCATTCAGATCAGCATCTATCAGATCATCAAGGAGTATCCCAACAGGTATCCCAATCCTGGCCTGGACTCATCACATGCTGAATTCCATCCCCTTTGCCTGCCTTAAGTTGGGACAGTATTTGATCATACACCTGACAAGGCATCGTTGCTACTGCTGTGGCTTGTGCAGTGTTAAGGCAACAACAGCAAGCCCTGAACAAGAATAGAACTTAGGCAACAACAGCAAGCACTGAACAAGAATAAAACTTACCTTAAATGTAATTTATTCCAGGGTTATGTCCAAGTTCACCAAATAATCTGCCCATGCACAGAGCAGGTGACGTTCATGTTCTCAGCGAGCAAATGGTGGAGTCCTGTGCACAGTCCAAGTGTCTGGGTTTGGGAAATGAACCATTTGCTGACACTGAGGTACTGCAAGCCAAGATTCACTTAGCTCCTTAGAGGCAGAAAGATTGTCTAACTTTTGAAGAAGCGTGGCTTTTTTGCTTGAGTTTGACAATTCTGCAGAAGGTAATTAAAAGATAAACTCATGCATTAACTTTAAGATCACATGTGCATACTTAACACATGCTGCTCACCATAACTGAACATTAAAACAAATCAAAGAATCATCTAGGCTGGAAAATATCTTTGAGACTGAGTCCAACCATAAACCTAATGTTGCCAAATCCACCAATAAACCATGTCCCTAAGTGCCACATATGATGTTGCATGAGCAAATCCTTGAATTTGAGTTTGCAGAGCTCTGTGTATGACATGTTTTCAAGACTCTACAAGACCTCAGTAAATTAGCAGATTTCACCAGGCAAAGTAGCTAAGTACCTGAAAATTATGATTGAAAACTAGTATCGATTCCAAGATGCTTCTGAAAAAGCTACATAGACCCAAAATATAGGGATTGAAATTAAATTAGCTTATGTCTTTTCTCAGAAAAGGCGGGGGGGGAAAGAAGTTCTATTTTAAGATAAACAAAAACTCTTCATCTTGGAACTGATTTCTATCCCAGGAAGGTTTGGCAAAACCAAAGAAAATGTCAGCTTAAACTTGCAGAGTATTTGGGAGGAAACAAAAGCCTCACCACAAGTTATCTTGAAGGCTGAGCCAGAATTCAAATCTCCTTTCTGCCCACAGAATCTTGAGCTTGTACCCTCCAGGTCAGATCTCTGAACTCCAAGTTATAAAATATTTATGGCTGTAAACAGGGATTCATTTTATACCAATGGAATCAACAGGAGGGAAAGCACTCATCCTTACAGAATACCTTTCGCTTAGTAAATTTGGGGATGAAGAAAATAGTATTGGGTTTTCTTTTTTTTTTTTACCTCTATCTTCAGCTTCCCAAAAATTCTTTTGACATAGGTTCTAAAAGAAACTTATTGGAGGAAGGAATGAAGCAGGGAGGAACAAACCATATCTTTTTCAAGAGCACAGGTCAAAGCTAAGGTGATGAAAGCTTTTCACCTGAGAACTCAGATTTTTTTGTGAACTAATGGGAAAAACTATTTGTTCTAATACTTTTGAAGTTTTCTTTTTAAGTGTTTGAATGTTTTCAGTTGGTGGTTTGTATTCTAATTTAGAGAAAGCAAAACTGTTTACCACTCAGATGAAAATCACAGTTATTACCTGATTTGTTGAAATGGCAACTGCCTCTGTGAAGGCATTAAACAATGCTTTTGATTTCTTTCAATGCATAAACAGAAATTTATAAATGCCTTATATTTGCATCTACAATTATAAAAGCCCCATATCCTCTAATGGAAGCATGCTGCTGAAAGGAGGAACAGGCAATACACCATGCATTTGATTTCACCAGTGTAACTACAGAAGCTTCAGATGTAGACTAAGTGTTCCTCTCCTAGTGTTGATTTTGACAGTTTCTGCTAATATGTAGGGATATTATAGGCAACTGCCTCAGTGGAACAGGACAGGAGAAGACCACAAGCTCTTCACTGGTAAAATTAGAAACAACAAAAATTTTCCATGAGCCCCTTGCTGTCTCCAGGCAGAAGAAACCCTAAGATGAGCTCCTAGGAATTTTTATTTTTCCAACAAAACCACAGCTTTTGCTTTTGTGGCCAGACTTCACTTGTGGTTTTCTTGACTTTATCACCTCAGGTTTATTTGACATATGTACATTAGGTTTCAGGTACAAAATTTTTAGAAGCTGTAACTACAGAATGGGAGAGGAAGAGAACTTTGAAGATGGAGAGGCACTGGAACATGTAGCCCACATAAGTTGTGAATGCCACATTCCTGGAAGCTTTCAAGGCCAGGCTGAATGGGGCTTTGAGCCACAGGTCCTAGTGTAAGGTGCCCCTGCCCATGGCATGGGGTTGGGTCTTGATCATCTTTGAGGACCTATCCAACCCAAACCTCCCTCTGATTCTATGATTCTGTAATATCCCACAGTCCTACTAGTGACATTCCACAGCAGAACTGCTCCTGCACCCTTTGCTTTGAGCAGGACACACGGGTGTGTGACAGGACTCTGCAATCCCAAACACAGTCCTGCTGTGCTTTCAGGCACAGGGCTCAGGGTTTCCAAGTTGCATACTAAGGATTGTGCTGTAGTCTCAGGCATTCTTCTGTCTCTATGGCAGCATGGCTACTGAAGTGTGTGTGTTTAATTCCCTTGGAGTTTGCTGAAGTTCCAGTCTTTGGGATTAAAGTTTTTTATTTGGTCTAAGGAAATGTACAGCATGGCCCATAGCAGGCTGACTTCCTATGGAGCCCCACCATCGCCTCCTACCCGAGTGTTTTCTCAAGACAAAAGTAAATATTGTCCAATTGATGCCAAATCTTGGTTCATGATTTGGTGGCAGCTAGCCACTAATTCAAGTAAACTCTGAGGGCTGTTTTTACATTAGGGAATGCTCAAGTGGCAGTAAGATACAAAAGCCAGTTTCCAGAATGAGGATGGAGGTAAAACAGCATTATTGGGATGGCCTATTACACTGTAATTATTATTTTATCTGATCAAGGACTGTTCTGGCTTTCAAGGAACATGTAGCTGGTTTGTTCCACCTTTTCTTCCTTAAGGGTCCTAGGAGATGTGGAGCTTCTTAGATGCTCTGCCTTCAGCCTCTTTGCTGAAATTTTTGACTGTGATAGCATTTCTCCTTTATAAAACTGATCATTGGGGACCAGACTGAAATCACTGAACTGAAAGAGCCTCTGTAAAGGTACAGCCAATCGGCTGCATTCTGCATTTTGGGCTATTTACGACATAATGCCTTGGGTTTTTATTACATGTTGTGGGCTATATTTTAAATAGAAATACTTTTTAAAATTCAGCCAAAATTTGCAGCTGTTTTTCATTTTAAGTGTGATTGCACAGAATAAAGGAGAATTTTAAAATTAAAAATGTCACAACATATGATGGGAAGTTTGAATGAATGACATGAGCTAATGGGGGAGCCCTGATCCCAGAGCTCCTGCTGCCTTCTCAGGGGTCAGGGTTTTTTTTTTTTTACCCTGTATCTGTATCAATTGTGGAAGAAGTTGTTATTTTCCCTGAATTTTTTTCTCTGTGTTTTACAGACTTTGAATTTCTGTAGTAACATGCTGTTGTTGTGTGGGCTAAATTACTAGTATTGGTCCAGATACATTTTCTCCATTCTTCTATGTGCTCTCAAGAATCAGTTCTGGTTTTCTCTAAGTAACCCCAACTCATTTTCATTTCATTTGCAGAGGTAATGAGTAAGAGCAATCTGTCTCTTTAAAGTTTATTACCTTAGCCAGATCACTGTACTTGCAGAGACACAGACAAGTATTTGAACTTTAGTTTGAGTTTTTGCTGCAGTACAAAGTAATAAAGTCAGATTGAGGAAAAATTTGTCCCTCATAGGCATTTCTGGACTGGACCATTAGTAGTGCCTTATTCTGATTTGGCATGGGAAACATTGTGATTTTGAGAACATTTAGTATCAGTCCTGGATTTGGAATGGAAAGACTCTATATGAGAAAACAATTATGTATTCTAGGAGGAGAAAAGACAAGTGTGGAACTATATCCCTGTGGTATTGTAGTATTTTATATTCCAAACACCTTTACAGTTTTCTATTAAATCTACTGAGTGATGCAAAATTATTTCTAAATAAAAATCTCAAAGACTATTACAGTCGGAACTTTTCAGGTTTAAAATTCTGATAAAACTGCTTATTAGAGAAAAAAAGTTGGCATTTAAGACTCCGGAGAGTACTATTTATGAGCTTGTGGTACGTTGTTAATTTGTTCAGTGCTAGCATAGCAGGTCAGGCTCTTTTGAGTTGTAAGATTTTCTTCATGTTAACTCCAGAGGGGGAATGTAGGTTTTCTCCTTGTGTGGTCATTAGCACAGGTCTACTAGAATGGAAGTGATAAGAGCCCAGCAAAAAGATTATCCTTTAACAGAAGAAAAAATAAAGGCAACTTGAAACAAAAGCCCTTTCAATTCCCTTTTTTTTAAAATTACCTTCCTTTATAATTTCTGAGCTCTTTAACCTGATTTTGCAGATATATCTCACATATAAGTAAACACATGCTTGTCATAGTTCACTTGGTCTTATTTTCTTCATTATTTAGCAATCACAGTTTCAAAAGGTGCACTTAATGCTTTTTTTAGTATCAGACATTCCAGGTGCATTTACTGTGTTTAGATAAGACAGGAACTTTCTAAGGTGTCGTTGTGATTAAGCATGTAAGACTACAGTGACAAGACACTAGCAATTTTAAATCCACTTTTTCACACAAAGCCTATTCTGGCTGGTTGTCTTTCCTCTTTAAGTGTGAATTCATTTCGTCTGTAAGGCAACAGTACAATTCCCAGATCTGTGTGAGCCAACTCTGGCTTTAGCTGACTTGTACAGTAAAAATTAGAATGAAACATTTTTTCTTGTATCTTACTGTTTTGACTACTGTTTATGGCATAAAAAATATGTTTCTATAACTACAGATTTAGGTTTAAAAGGTTAAACGGTGAAAACAGTTTTTAATAATGCATGCTGCTTTGTAGAAGCGTGTAAAATGAAACTGGTGAGAGTTAAATATCTTGGGTTTGGTCTGGTCATTGTAGTAAATTATTTGTAATACAGATGATGATCTGGAACCAATTGTGTCACGAGATATGTGGAAACAGAACAAATAAATGACCCATGCTAAAAATTTATTAACACAATTATACTAACTCCCCTGAGCAACCCTTCTGAATTACTGGAAGATTTCATGGGAACAAATTTGAAAATATACCGGGGAACTGAGGGTTAAAATGTAATAATTATATTATTGAATAGATATGTAATTTCTGCTTTGATATAGAGACTTATTTTCCAAACATCTGCAGTAATAGGAAACGGTCTGAACTGCCATCTATTCATGTTTTGTCATAGGATACAGCTGCCGTCATATGTTATTAACAACAGATCTTTTTAGCAATGCTATACCTCTGAGTTTTAGTTGAAATTGGGAAGTGATTTTGACATTTTTTGTCTTTTATGCTGAAAAGTTTATAAAAGTGAATCTTCCTGATGCATTCGAATGTTCAGAGATGAATTTTTTATACACGGCCTCAATGATGTTTTTCATGTTGTATCAGGAAGCTGTATTTTTCAGATTTTCCAGAGCTATCATTTTTACATGCTGAAGCTCATTTCAGAAAGGCCTCTTAGGGGAAATACCTGCATTATACTTACCAACTACCTGTCATCTACAGCACATGTTGTACTATGTCATAATGAGGATATATCAAAGGATTATTGATTTGGACTCCAAGAAGTTATTGTCAGCAAGAAAATTAGGGACAGAGCTAATAATATTTGAATGCCTTAAGTCCCTATTTTCTTTAATTTAGGGATGCAGACTTGTTCCTGTTAGACTCAAGAAAGGCTCAAGCTTCTGATGTGGGCTGGTTTGTCTTCGACATCACTGTGACCAGCAATCACTGGGTGATTAATCCACAGAACAACCTGGGCTTGCAACTCTGCGCTGAAACTGGGGATGGTAAGATCCAAACTACAGATCCCAATGCCTTGTGTGCTCTTGACAAACCTTGCTAGCACCTTTTTCTGGATGGGTGTTTTTTAACTTGACTGGGTGACAATTCACTGAGAGTTTGTAAGCAAATAACACTAATCTTGTCCTGCTGTTGATGTGGTGTGCAAATTTTCTAGTATTTTCAATTCTTTAGAACATTGCAATTATAAAACTGACTGAATCAAGTCAAATTGGGTTCAGGCTCCTACATACAAAATTAAGATCCATTTTAATGTTCTACTAGTGATGATTACATTCAGGAAAGTCAGACAGATACGCAGAACTTCTTCTGCAAACTTCTGCAGAACTTCTTCTTGGGCTGAAGCATAGAAGAAGTTATAAAATAAACCTCAGAGCCATTCAAAAGATATAGCATCTGTTGATACTGATGTTGAAGCAAGTTTAACAATAGGGTAATGTGGGAACTGCTTTTCTTTAATTTGAAAAAAAAAAAGATTTTTTTAACCTTGAAATGGGTTAAAGATTTGAAATCTTGAAAATTTTAGTTAGCTGAAAATTAGAAAAAACCACTATCAAAACTGAAGGTTTGAGCTGTGGGGGTTTTAGTACAAATTTGCTGGGCTACTGCATTATTCAGAGTTATGCTCTTCATTAAATTTGAAAATGCATCTCAGTGCAAAACAATATTTTTAGAAGAAATGTTCTTTACTTAGACTTCTTTAGAAACTAATAAAAAGAGACTTATATACTGTTTTTTCTGTGATGGTTCACTTAATCCATACCACTTTACAAGCAAACTCAGATTTAACTCTTTTTGTCAAAAAGCTTTTTATGTCAGAGGTCAAGGGATCTATGATGCCAGTTAATCTAAACCTTAGCTGACATAATGTTAATGAGTAGCAGAAGAAACCCTGGTGTAAGGATTAATATTTTTTTTCTTCTTTGTTCTGGCTACATTTTCTCATTGGTTTTGATCTAAATTCTCCCTCAGGCTCAGCTGGGCTGTGAACAAAGCATCTCATACTTTTTCAGCAAGTGCCCTGGCTGCTGGAGAGTTATGCAAAAACTGTCCTTTAGGCACGATGCTTAAGAAGAGAGCTGGCAGGCTTGCACCGAAGCTCATGGCCATTTCATCTGGTGTTACCTTATGGTCAGAGAACAGCCAGTGCACAAAGGGGCACCAGTGCAGAGTAGACCACGTTGCTGCCTTCAGCCAGCCTCCAAAGGCACCACTCCTGAGCCTGGGCTGCATGGGGAGTGGATCTCTTAGGCAGCCTGGTTTAGTGAGGCCATTTTAAAGCTCTTACAATTCTGGGGAGGTGACACCTCCGTCAGGAATCCAAATTAGGTGGGCTGGCTTCTGGCCAGCTTTCCTGCTCCAGAATAAACTCCATCCTTGACTTTTTTTTTTTTTTCAGGAGATTTGAACACAGAAATTGTTGAAAATTAAATATCCATGAAAGGCATTCATTAAGAAACCCTGCAACCAGCAATTTGTTGGTTCTAGCCTCAAAATTACATCAGTTTGGTAAACTACAGGAAAGTTTGTATGGGTCAAAGGAAACCTTTAGGTTAATACACTGAAGAAATTGTAAAAGAATAGCTCATGTAAATATTTCCCCTGTCCTACTCCCAAGATCGGAAAGGTGATAGATAATTTTCTATTTTAAATTCCAAAGCCACAAACAGCTTTACCTTTTGCACCTTACTTATTTGACTTATGAAGGAATTTGCCTTTTCCCTCACTTTCTATTCCCTTTTTCACTTTATTTGTACAAGGAGTCAACTTCTAGGGACTAAAGTTTTCAAAACTATAGGATAGACCTACGCTACACTACTTCAGCTTAGCACAAGCAAAATCATCCTTTCATGCTCTTACAATTTTGCTCTTAAGGCTTTGATTATTTTTATTGGGTTGCTGTTACTTCTGGAAGCTATTAGAAACACCAGCAGTTGAATGACACGTTTGTGTACAGATGGAACATGAATTTTTATACGACTCAGTGTGTAGCAGACTCGGTTCGTAACCCAGAGAACCCCACCCACCTTTCCTCCAACCAGTTCTCTGAGAGAGCTCAGGGACTGGCTCAAATCAGCTGAAAAACCTTCCCTTGGCTCAAGAGAACTTCAGGCCATGCAGGTCTGAAGCACATTTCTTCATGTCTCCAGCTGTCAGCCGAGTTTACAGGAGGCATAGTACTTCTGTCCCCATAACTGGAGAGATATTTATGATAAAACCTGATCTATTAACCTTTCTATTGCAACAGATCATTAAACTAAATAGGATTCTGGTAAGTAAGAGGATCCCTGATTGAGTTATTCCGGTGCTACACTGGGGTCCTGGATAATCAAGTCTGTAAAAACATACTAATTTTTAGATTTATTCATACAGCCAATATGGGGAACCAATGGTTGCTGAGACTCCAGGGTGCTATTATATTGTTATCACTACCATTAAAAGTAATCTTTCTTACCATCATCTATCAGAGACATTTTTTGGCAATTACTTGTGTATATTTCTTTGCATCCCTGAAGATGGTGCACAAATAATAATAATAATGTCTACATAAGGAATAAAAAGAAGTTTGTAACTAATACAAAAGAAAAGAAAATGTGTGAAAAGAAAATCTTTGGAAAAATGTCTGGTTGTTGTAATTCATATTTTCCCCCCTTTGAAAATCCTGAAAAAAGTACAAAAAGCCACATGACACTGGAATGTGTTTTATTTTTTCTTTAGGACAGTATTTGGTATCATACGTCTCATTTTAGCATGAAATGTAGACTTTTTCTCTTAATGGGACATTCTATTTTGAAAAGTAAGAATAAAGGTTTGCATGACACATATGGAAGCTGTCAACATATAATGCACTCTTTCCCTGGGGCTGTGGCAAATTAAGGATCAGGTTTTTTTGATTCTCTTTTTTAACGTATCCTCAACATTTTGCAGCATCCCCTTTTGGCTGATTCCCTGCTTTTGACACCAAAACTCTCTGTCATGATTCAAATGAGAGGTGATCTTTTTCACACTGATGGATGCACGGTTGGATGAATTGCAACATAAAATCAATACAGATGCACAAATAATTTCAAAAGCTCCATGCAACCTCTTCCTGTATATATATCACATGTCTCCTAAGACTTAAAACTTGTTCTAGTGGATAAGCACCTTTGTATTAACATTTAGCATTTTTATAAGTGGACTTATAGCAGTGACCTGAACATCACTATTGCTGAAGTGGTATAAGCAGCTACAAGAGTAATCCTTTTTCTATTTATGTCATTGCTGAGGAGAACCTAGAGTTGTTTACAGAGTATGGGAGAGGGAGATAAAGTGCAATGTGATTGGTGGTGATCCACACAATAAAATGGATTCCAAATACACAGCTCTCAACACAACATCCTGAGTAGGCCCACAGTCATATAGTCATGTGCCTTTTATTAGATTACTGCAGCTCTCACTTATTTTTCATCTACCAGCACACCAGAAGGGAAGAAACTGGTGTCTACTTTGAAAAAACAAAGATTAAGATTTCTGTTACCACATAGTCCAATAGAAGGTTTCTTTGGGTTTTCTTGCTTTTTGAGGTGGGCAGGAAGCTGGAACCCTCAGCTCCCTGACTCTGACTCTTCAAGTATTTTCAAGTATTTTTTTTCCCCAGAGCAAAAGCAAACTTGAAAAAAAATAGGTTACTCAATCCAAGTGAAGCCTGTGGAAGGCTAATTCCCCCTTCAGCGTGAATTTGGGTATGCTCTGATGTGTGTCCCCTGGAAGAGGGTTTGGTTCTTAACCCCGCATGCTGCATGAAGGATTGGTGAAGTTCTTCTCCAGAGATGTTGGGGAAGAAACTAAAAAACATAGTCTCTCTTTTTTACCCTCTCTTCCTTTTAGCCTAGATCTTCCAAGGTCCCTTTCTTCAACTAAGCCTTCAGAAGGGCAGCTTTCAGTGTGGCATGGAGTGGCTGATTTGCTCTCAACAACGTGTGGCAGCACTCTGTCCTCTTCATGTACTTGGCTGTATATTTGATGTTGTTTTGGCCTCACCATTACCACACTAAATGTCATTTATTTACCCCACAGCTGCCCCTAGACCACCTTGGCCATGGTAGCTATCAAGTATGCTGGAGGATGCTGCTGGGTTGTTACCTTTAAACCTCTTGATGGATCTGGTATTTACAAGGCAAAGTATGAGGAGCAATGTCTCCTCCATTACTGTCCTTATAGTGGGGAAACTTAGGAAATATGTATTTATATTGATATATATATATAGGCTTTGGCAGGCAATAGCTCTGACTAAATTCTGGGCCATCTGGAAGCCATATAGCCATGTTAGCACAGCACTGAACCTGAGCTAATACATCCTGCCCCTCAGCAGGTTTTATTAGCTTGGGCTCAAGCACTGCCTAAGTACAGCTACGTTCATTTCTAGTTCAGAGCTGACTTTGGCCAAAATTGTACTAGTTTTAAATTAAACGTGCTCGGCAATGCTGCGGTGTGAAACAAGCTGGAAGGATGAGTCTCAGTCTCCAAAACAGGGTGATCCCATGACAGCTGCCCCCATGAGAAAGGTCCCAGGGCTGCAGTGCTGCCTTGAGGTTCTGTTGACTGTGGTGGAGCTGGCACAGGATGTAAACGCACCGGGAGCACACTCCTACCCTGAGCAGAGCGGATGATCCAGTTCCAGCAGTCTTTAATTTGCTCAGATAGGTGGAACCACCGTTTCCAGCTGGGTACAAACACTCCACATTGTGTCAGCTTGTAGCAAGTGAACACACCCTTTGTTAGTAAGGGCATACTCACTTTAAGCAGAAGGGCCAAGGAGGGAAGTGAAATGGGCTCCCACCCCTTCTCCTACCACCACTGGTGCTCGCTGGTCCTGGCTGTAGAGCTGTGCAAATCACCCCACACCCTGCTCCCCAGACAGATGAAGGATACAGCTGCTTCTCAACACCATTAGTTTAGAGATAATGGCATTTGTGTTCTAGTCCATTCAGAAGGCTTTTATCCA